GCTGGATATGTAGTACATCGCATGTCCTTTGCACCGGCACCATTTGTTGAAGTCGGCGAGCAAGAGTCGGACAGTGGGTGGTCAGTTAAACTTATATAGCAGCACTCATTGTGAGCTTGTTAATTGGACAATGGCCTCACAGCCACAGCAGCAAATGGCTGTGAAAAAGCTTTGCCAGTGGTCTGGGGCCACGGCGCGACGTCAGAAATTGGTGTGGCCGCGGCGGGAGTTCGGGCGCCTAAGTCCAACTTCGCTCGAATGGACGTTGTCAGAGCCGTAAACCTGTATCAACCACGCTCATATGGACATCAAAGTAGATCTTACAAAAGAATGGCCCATCGCGCAAATTTGAGTGATTTTCAATCGGATTTATAGGGATTTGTGAACGAGCAGAAGCACATTCTATACAGCAGAGGGCGGGAATAATCGTTTGCGAATCGACAATTTGTACTTGTTTGTTGCCTGGCTGCACCCCCTAGGCCGAAGTATGCTCGCTTCGCTCGCAACAACGTGCTACCCCGGCAGACACCCATAGGTTTTGCCTAGTAAGTCTATAGATGTATAACCTTTTGTCTTCGTGCAAACTCTCACTGACATCCAATGTCGTAGCGGCAGCAAGCGAAGGCAAAGATAACTCTATTCCTGCTGTGAGTTTCTAGATGTCATACTCCGAGTCGTATCCTGACATTGAACCACTGGCGTGTCCCGCATGCCTCGGAGACAGAAAGCCGGAAATTGACCGACCGGGAGACGCTGCGCAATATTTCAGTGAGATCATCGAGTTTCAGAGACAAGCTGTCCCGCCGGAGCAACTCTTTACAGCACATCGGTCGGTGCCGTTCATGTGACATCTACTCGGGCAGCCTGAGGCTGATGTACGTGTGGGACAGTTACCCCCTCATGATCTACACAGAAGCATTGACACGAAGCGGCGTGGATGATGATAGTGCACAGTCGCTGCTGGAAGGGCTTGTCGATACGCCTGCTTCTGACAAAACAGACTTGCGCGATCTGATTGTGGCCAAAGTATGCTTGTCACGTGTTCTGCGGCGGCGAGGAAAGCTCGGTTCAGCGAAGAGACAGTTAGTCAATTATCACTATCTCTGATCTCCAGATACAGACCTCATACCTGTGACAGCGAGAAATGGCTTGTCAAGTGGTTCCGCAAGAACCCACACCGGCTGCCGACTGCGGACTATGGCGAGCCCCTAATACCGGATGGCGAAACGGCCAGTCCAATCCTGGAAGCGCTTGGAGGACGTTCTTGGTTAGAAGGACGCCAGCGTACTGACAAGACAGATCATCGCATAAACAAAGCATGCAGGAATTGCCGCGCTGTGGAACCAATTGTGAAGCTATCCATCTGCGGAAAGTGCAAGACATTTTACTACTGGTGCAGCTCTCGGTTTGGCTTGGGCCAGGGATGTCAATAGCTAAATGTTCGCTAGCTCTCGAGAATGTCAGAGGAAAGATTGGCCGTTGCACAAGTAGGTGCTCAGCCGGATAATTGCTTATGCTAGTCCCTCAACAGTTTATATTCGACCAATAGGGATGCGTGCAAGTAAGCATTGACGCTAGCCTTCAGCTTCAGGCGTAGCCTGCACTGACCGGCCCTTCTGATACTAGAGGGTTTGCTTTAGAGAACGAGAAACTCAAGCTACTCTCCTTGCTGGATGCACCCGCTGCGCAGCGGCAAAAGGACTGGAACGCTTGGAAACTTGCCGTCGATAAGTTGCCCTACGCCAACGCGTTACGGTTGCATGAAGATCCTGGTCGAGCACGCACTCATCTCATAGTGGAGCACTCGGCCTACACTCCTAGTGCAGGGCCACTCGCGAAAGATAAATTCAAAATCGTTAGATGTGCGGTGTTCCGTATTGCTGATGTCGTGACCGAGATTGAGCGCATCTTGAAGCTCAGAGCTGGCAAAGGCTGGGAGCTCTGCGAGAAGATGCTGCATGAAGCATACCCAGTGGCAAGCGGCCTCGTTCTATTCCTCACATTTGGAGATGGTGACGGTGTCCCTCCGAAGCTCGGGCAGGGTTTGCATATATTCTTTGAGTTGTCCTTGCTCACGTTATGCTCATTCGATCTTCACAGAAGCGATAGGGAAGGTGCAACTTGAGTACACATCATATAACAAAAGTTGGCGCCAGACCATGAACAGGGACCTTCCCCCGACACAGCTAGTACTGCGCGAGGATATCAAGGACGCAGAGTTCGACTGAACTGCCGGAATGGAATTATTCTGTAGCAGAGCTGCTTACGGACTTAGTTCTCATGGTAGGTCAATCAGGCATCGCATTTCACGTATACATATAACACCGCTCACCGTAGTCCTGGGCAGGCGAAAGTACACATCAGGAACTTGTGAAAAGTCTCTGACGGCCTCGTCAGGGACTTCAGAGACCTTCAGAAAGGCTCAGAAGACGTCAGAAAGGCTCAGAAGTCCAGGTGTCAAGACTTCATTTTTTTTTCGAACACATCTCTCAGAGAGCCATCTTCAGATGGCTCAGGGCAGTTCAGGGCTCGTCAGCTTCTCAGGAATCGTCAGCCTCTCAGGAATCGTCAGTGCATAGATCGCCACAGAGTCACAGACACGATAGCATTCAGAAGACCAGATTGCATTGTGTCAGCTACCAGTAGATGAGTACCAGAAATAGCAGTTATCGTAACACCAGCTGTTGAAAGCTGGGTTAAGTCGTACAAAACAGAAGCGATGTAATACTATGTCAATGTCTACCGAACGTGTCGTCCTCGCCGCCAGACTGCACCGGACTACTCGGATCACAAACAGTGATGTTGTCCTCGTCGTCTGCAATGCGCGGTGCCCATGTAGTCTCGATGTACGGAATTGCAAGATCTATGTACTTGTCGAATCGGCGACGCTCGATGATCTTCGCGACGGACTTGTCGTGCCAATAGGTAGTGACACTGCGGTAGCTATCGCCACTGAAGGCGAGATCGCCGTTGTATTGCCCAGTCTTCCAGGCCGTAAACACATGCTGTACCTGCAGCAATTGTCAATTATACAACGAGATGCGAGTGCAAGAGCACTCACCACTGTGGCTGCGAGTGCGAGTGCACCGCGCGCCGGCTTCGTATCAGTATCTTTGATTCGGCTTCCTTGTACTGCGGCCAGATGTGTCGCAAATGACTTGAGAACGTAGGCGGATTGGAGAGCCCCGAGAGGATGCTCAAGCTGTGTGGATGCACCCGGTGATGAGCCCTTAGCTCACCTACCCGCCGAAAACGCCATTTACGGTCGATACAACAGTACACTAAGTCAGAACGGTCGACGCACTGCCCGTCCGTTCGAGGGAACCGCCCGATGTTCGAAGCTCAAGCGTCAATGTTCGGAACCCTTAGTGGCAGAGGCGAGCGGTTTAGAAGCGTTGCTACATTGGTAGGACTCCGGGGCAAGTACATGGCTACGTCAAACTAACTAGTGACGGCCTCGGCAACTCTCGTATCTATGTCCTCGACCTCCACACCCATGACCACCACCCCTACCCCTACGAACAGACGGACCGGCGTCGAAGCTACGGTCAGTGTTGACGCGCTCGAGCAGGCTTTCGAGCAACCCGACGAGGGTGCCGTGCGTGCGGCGCTGGTCGACTGCGATGTTGTGAATCACTCGACCCATGGACTCGAGGTTGTCGGGCAGCTGGCGGAAGTCGGACAGGATCAACGACTCGCGCTGATACTGCGGGTTCGCGAGAGGGCGACGCTCGGCCTGGTTGACTTGTTTGAGCAGTACCAAGGTCTCGGACCAGGCGATCGTAGGGTAAGGCGAACCTAGGATATCTCCCTGGTTGCCATCGCGGTGAAAGACCTCGTCGAGGTAACGCATCAACTCGTTGATCTCGGGGAACGACCTAGGAGCAGGAAGCGTATCGTTCGCTAGCAGGATGGCCCGGCTGCGGGACTCGAACAAGAATCGCTGTTCGAAGGTCGGTTCGATGGTTCGAACGATAGTCTAAGTTCGGAGGCACGTACAATCATCCAACGGACTCCGTGGGCCCAAGCCAGCCACTCTCCGGGACTGTTGGCATCGTATCGCGGCTCGACAAGTCCCTCGGTCTTGAGGACCTCTAGGAGGCGGTAGTAGCGGGCAGCATACACTTCGGAAGTTGGGTCGAGGTGCGGCATGTTCGTGTAAGTCAGGCGAACTCCTGCAGCTGTCTCATATCTTCGAGGACTGTCACCGGCCCCGGTTATGACCTTCGCCGTTCGGGGACGGTCGCCCGTTATGCGGAACCTGCGGAAGGCCGAGTTGGATTCTCTCATGTGTTAGTAGGTCCGGGTCGAGCGTTGTGACATTCTCCGATTGGCTGTTTTCCTTATCTCTTTCATTCATCATGTCTTGTATTTCTCTTGGCTCTCTTGGTCTTCGGACCGTATTTTCCTGTATATACTCTGGGACTTGTTCCCTTCGAATCTCAGAGACCCCCTTACCCTCTCAATCTCACCTCGCACCGGCGAGGTTCGTCAGCCAGTCAGTACGTTCGAAAGTCAGCAAGTTCGCCAGTCAGCCAGTACGTTCGAAGCCAGTCAGTCAGTCAGCCAGTTCATCAGGAAAAACCAGGTTTGCTTGTCAAGCCACATGGCAACACATAAATGCTTGGACAACTTGGTTAAGTGTTTCAGGACCTGTAAGGCTTTGTCAAAATAGCCGTGCTTGCATAAGATGCAGTTTCCTTGACTAAGCATCCCTTCAAGAAGATATTGTGTTACCTGCAAGCAAATTTTGGCTAGGGGATTTTCTTTATTCTCGGAGGTCTTACATTGACTCAATCATGAGTTCTTAAGTATGCATTTTCAGGCGTACTACTTTCAAAGTATCTATCATAGTAAATGTAGTACTTCTATCTAGTAGTCTCAGTGTGCTCTCTATGGACGTTGGTGGTCTGTGTCCAGAACACAAATTGGAACTGGCAAGGCCATCTGGATGCATTTTATGAGTCCGGTACGGTGTGCACAGACACAACTTGCACGATTCACGGAGCCTGACGAACAGCCTGCGCCTGGTCGCCGCATTGAACAACTGAGTGTTCATTCTGCCTGCTGCCAAATCCGCCAACGCTCTCGCAGCGTTCTGCGACGGCACTGGGGGAGTCGCTTGTGTACGAGACATTCTCGAATGCGGTCATGGTGTAGGAAAGGTTGCGGCCATTTTGGACTGTAAATGGTGGATCATGCAGGAGCTGTAACAAGCTATCAGTGACCCCAATGCCATGCACCCGTATTAGACTCACTGTAATAAGCGGGTCTATGAGGATTGAGATCACGCACTGGCAGGTTGGTAAGGCATCAAGATATGTCTACATTTAAGGGGTACGCGCTGGAGAGTAGGTCAGTGATGTCGGTGCTAAAGGGAGCGTCAACAACAGCACCACAAGTCACAATATGGTGCACGGCTACTCACAGTACTTGGGAGATGCGGTTGATGCTGGTGAGGCCGGTGAATACTTCGGCAACGAAGGGAGACATCTGGGCAGGAGCGTACATCATGTCAGTCACAGAATCCAAGGGTACAAGTCATTTAAACCTACACGTCGGAGAGTTGCAGACGTCAGAAGCCAGGTTGAACGACTAGGATGGACTCTTGGCTGAGTACTGTGGTGACGTTGGGCTGAATGACGGGGACTGCGGGCTGTAACGAGGTGATGTCGGGGATAATGATGGGGAAGTAGGTGAGTACCGAGGACTCGTGGGCGAGTATCCTGGCAATGTGAGATTCAGCGCTGCTGACGTCGGCGAGTATGTAGGCGAAGTTGGTCCACGCACTCGGGATCATACCAAATCTCTACCACTGCCGTGACAGTGCACAGAGACGTGCGATGTGCGGTGCGAGGAACACGGACAGTGAGGGCGTCTTGATGTTCGTCGCAACATTGATGATTTCCTTCAACCGCGGCACGCAGAGCGTGACATTCTCACTGGATACACCTGCGTGATGGAACGTGTTCAGTGTCATCTGCGTCGCTGGTTCGCCGATAGACTGCGTACCACACATCTCACCTGGCTGCGCCACGGTTTGATTGAACTTCGCCCGGGCCTCCCCATGCAGCGAACGTAGCACAAAGGAGCCAGTGGGACCCGGTGCGGAACAGGAGTGTTGCATTGTTCTGGGTCTCCTGCGATACTATACGACTGTCGCCACGAATGACAACCAGCCGCTCCGCCAGCTCGCACACGGAGTCGATAACGTAAGCTGGGTCGAGGTCGCTTAGTTTGCGTCGGTCGATATGGAAGATCTGCACCGTGTTCTGTACACTACGCTGAAAGTTGACACGAAGGTGGTGAGGGACACTGGAATCCTGCGCGGAATACGAACTTGCGTAACAGACGGTGATCCTGGACGACTCGGAGGCTTCGCTTGCAGCTCCAGAGAACTGTTGTCCAAGCCAATGGCCTGTCCACCCGGTGTTGATTGTGGCAGCTGTGCGCGCGTGCATCCAGAGGACCTAGACCGTCTGCCGCGTTATCAACGGGTACCCCATCGTAGACACGACACTCGCCAAAACGCCATCTGTCATGTCTTTGCCACGACCGACGTGCTTCGTCGCGCCTCGCATACCCACAAGTCGGAACTCCGTACGTCGCGTCTTCGTTGAACAGCGACCACAGGACATCACATGCAGTTCGTTCAAAACAGCGTACTTGTCCGTCTTCACTGGGCGTCAATATGTTGCATATTAGATTGTATGGACGGATGGTGGGCGATGATGGCAGGCGTGACATGGTGCGGTAGCCTTCCGGGAGGGACCCACAAAGAAGCACTAGTGTGCGCATCAACACAGCGCGGACAGGGGTGCTCCACGGTCAGTTTGCCGGACATCGATCATCCGGCCGAGGTCAAACTTGAAGATGACGGTGGGCACGACGTGGACCAGCTGTGCACGGCGGAGTAGCGCACCGAGAGGGCTCAGCAGCGTGCGCGTTGACACAGCGTGAACGGGTGCGCCAGTTCGCCAGAAGACGATACGTTGTGTACTGTACTCGATCATCCGGCGACGGCGATAGGATGCTGCGCTCGGAGGGTGCATAGCAGCCACACATAGTGCGGTTGTGCGGTGTGCATATTGGGACCCGGGCCTGCGCGCAGATGAGATAGGTTGAGGTCCTGCCTGCTTGAAGCACAAGGTGCTTACCGACGCGAGCATGGGCTTGACCAGCAAGCTCGACGCGCCACGCACGATGAATGCCAACTGCCCCGTGGTACTGTCGCACCTGCCAGATTGAACCCGGTGAGTGACGACGGTGGAACTGATATCAGGACACATACGCACACTTCGAGGTCGCCACAACGCATGGCCCGAGGCTTGCTTGCCGGAAGACGATATATGGTGTCTTCGTCGGTCATGCCGATGCGCAGGGTATGTGCTCGCCACGAAGGACCTCGTTAGCATCCCGAGGAGCAGTGTCGAGCACCGGCCGTTCACGTAGGTACCAGAACACTGTAAAGCCAGGCTAGGTCAGTCAATGAAGCTGACAGGCAGATGGTACGATGCGCACCAGTGTCCTGCGTGTTCTCCGTCTCTGCGCATATGTGCTTGCAAGGCAGAGCCTGCAAGTCGTGGACATCGTGGCCGTCTCTCCGGTCGATCGGCATGCGCAATTGGGCGAACCTGCTGTACTTCGGATGTCAGCTGTCCGTGTGCATCATTTCCCGCTCGGACCGCTGGCGGGCGAGGGCGAGCAGAGTCCGCTATTACGGAACCACCCCTGGTTCTACAGCGTGGATGACGATACGAGGCTCGAGCACGCTGGCTGTAGGAGGTGTGAAAGATCGCAACCATGTGCAAGGACGTGGCGCATAGACGTACTGGGTTCACGACGCCCTCGGATACTGGGCGACGGGCCTTGTCCACGTCGTCTGCCCGGGCCTCGTATGGTGGACAGTGTGTCCTCTCAGGTATTGTCTTCGTGCGGGAGGCACGGAGCAGCTTGAACGTTGACCGGTGCGGGAATGTCGAAGGCGGCCTACTGCATGCGCAAGTGAGTGAGTAATGTAGATTGACAAGTCAACAACGTACTGGAACTGGATCAGGATATTCTTCAGACGAAGGGCAACTGTTGTGGTGGGTACTGCGCAGGTAGGGTTTAATATTACAGTGCCAAGGTCAATGTGGTCATACGTAGGGTTGCTACCATAGAGTTTGATAAGCGTATTTACTGGCCCAGTTGTTCAACAAAAACCTATGTGCTTTGTCCAGTACGTTGTCAGTGGTCCAGTCATTCGGAACGTTGGGACGTGAGTTCGTACGAGTGGGGTTTGGGAAATGGGGAACTAATTGACAGGACTGGCGGATCATTCGTAAAGGTACTACGTCTCCAGGCGGCGTGCCGTCCGCCCTAAGGGGCATCTTTCGGACATCGTACATCATGTGTACGGGGTCGGCAGCGGCAGGGAGTTTGGCATACCATTCAACGTAGGCCAGGGGCCTTGCTGTGCCCATTCCTCTGGGGCTGGCATCTCTGAGACAGCACCGTGTTGGTAGATCTTCTCTGGTAGCTTGAAGATCGTTTGACTCGCCCTATGCGAGTTCCTGGTGAAAGTTTGTTTAGACAGTAGAAATGAAGTGTGTTGACCTACTCACCTTGGAGACCAGTTGCCTCAGCATTGTCGCTCGCAAGACACGACCGTATCGAACCGTGCGGGTTCTGTTCCACAAGACGGCTTCGCCTTGACTGCGTCGTGGTCCGGGTTGTCGTCTGTGAGGGGAACGGTAGCGAACTTGAACCATGGAAGACGTCAACGCGAGAGAATGGAAGATAGGAGCCGCCTTCTCCGCCTCGCTGGCGGTCAGTGGGCGACCAATTTGTTGAGAAGATATGCTGGTTGAGGGCTTTCGCAAATCCAGGCGCTTGATGCTATCCGCAATGGACACGATGGACTGTTGCGAGACGGACGGATGCTTCGGCAAGGTTAGGCCAGCTGGAGGACAGCGTGCATGATCTTCGGTAACGTCAGGGATCCGTGCGTCGCAATGCGCTCCTCGTGGAGTCTCTGGCGAAGCGTCTCGTACATAGCGACCTTCTCCTGACGCTCGAGCCACTTGGTCATTTGAGGCCTCTCGTTGCGATGGTTGGACGCTCGCCAGGCCTTCTTCGCACAGTCGATGTGCAGGCGTTCGAAGAGTTCGGTATTGTAATTGTCGGTAGTGCCCAGGTTGCGAATAGATTCGACATAGTGGTGGAGGGAGTGGAACTTGGGTATATTGAGGTGTTCTCGTATGCCGAGGGTCTTCAGAATCTCCTTGTTCTTATGGTAAGTCTTCAGCGCATCCTCTAAATAGGTCAGCGTCGTGTCGTCGTGCGTCGAGTACTGGGCAATGTAAATAAAATCGAGAAGAGCGCGGAAGGTCGTGATGACCGCGTGAGGTAGGCGTCCGACGAGACATCCCAGCAGGATGCGCGCGATGTCCTTGCGCTCGCTGCCAGACACCTGGGACAGAGAGGATATGCCGTTCTTGAAGCGGCGCGTACCGTACGCAGGGGTAAGCAGCGTATGCGCTGGTCGAGCTCGGATTCGTCCATAAGATCACCGCACCACTCTATAACGTGCTTGAAAACGCCTTGGTAGAGTTGGTGGAGAATATCCGGTGTTATGCAGTGGTGGATGTCTGCGTAGGGTAGGTCCTTCCAGAACGGTTCTACGACGTATCCTGAGACGTTATATTCCTTGCAGGCGTTATAGAACGCCGTCGTGCCCTTCTTTCCTCGAGTTTTGGCCTTCCGCAGGACGTCCAACGTCCAGATTTGTCGGCGCGGCGTCTTCGCTGTGTTGTCTCCGAGAGCGATCTCTGGGCACTGACAGATGCTGCAGGTGCCGTACTTGGTGCACGTCACCAAGCACTGCTCGGGTAGTCAGCAACGTAGGACGCAAGAACTGGGTGGACGCGCCGAATTTTGCCATCCCCTCCTGTCACGTCTATGCCCTCTTTCCCAGCCTTGATGAGCGGCTTGAGGATCATCTTGACAGACGCGTGAAAGAGTTGCTGAACGAGTGCGCGATGCTTGCGATCGCTGAGGCCGATAGAGTCGACCTTGTCGACGGAGAGGTATCCTATTAGGATGCACGCATGCTCTGAAGGCTTGCGACGCAGAGCCTTCGGAATGTTGCCAAGGTCATGTAGACGGGGTACGCAGACTTGTTCCCAGAAAATTGGGTTAGTTGCGTCTTGTCCGTCGAGATAATAACGGGGGCCAGGGCAGCTCCCTCCGGTAGCAGGCTCTGAGTAGAGCAGTAATGAGTACGCTGTAGGCACAATCAATAACAATGAAACACTTACTTGTACAGCGTTCCACCATTTGCCTGTCCACATCTCTGTGTAGATACGGTTCTTGCGACTCACGTCTGAGAAGATTCGGCGTGGGCGATACACGATGCGGTCCGCGTGGGCAGGGTTTCCGAGTAACGCCCTGATCGCCGCTATGATGTCGCGGAACTGAACGAGATGTTGCTCGCCTGGTCGGTCCTTGAAGGTTATCCACTGCTCCATCCACTCGGCTCTGTCAGGTATTGAATCGACCTTTTGCAGGAGTGCGCGCATGTTGTGATAGGATAGGCCGAGTTTCTCTCGTACCTAGGTTCATTGTCAGAAGGCTGAGAATCGTGTGGAATCGACACTCACGTTAGGTATGTTCAGAAATCGGTCAACAGCACCTTGGCTGACGCCCTCCTTGACGCACCAGGAGGCAATCTCCCAGTCCATTTCTGAATCGAACGGCTCCCACAGAGAGCTTTCATCTAAAATAATAGGTGAGCACATCACGTCTGTATCGTAACAAGTTCCAATTTGGCTTACTGGTCGGTTCGCCGTCATCTGCGTCTTCAGGGCTCTGTTTTGCGAAGTGCTTCCTCCACGCATCCCTCATAGTCCGGCCCTCTCCCAATACATGTCCGGCAGCATTATCGACCTCTTCGACTCGCGTGTCTTCGTCGTCATCAAGTTGTATTGCGGACTGACGACCGCGAGCCGCTGACGATGAAGATTCGGCCGCCGGAGGATCGCAGCCTGAGGAGCTGGCGACAGGTAAAGGGACGAACATCATTTCTTGTTCGGCCTGTGAGCCGAAAGCGTCATCCTCATCCTCACTCTGGTCACTCTCAGTGCCGTCTTCATTCCCTGGTCGCAAATTGGTGCGCATGACGATCCTTCACCTCTGTTGTAGGCATGCCTAATAGGTTGTAGGTCGGGCCTTTAAAGATTAGTAGTGTACGAGGACTGGATTTCAATCTCACCTAACTACTGCCTGCACTCATTTCCCCTGAATCGACGATCCTCAGCTCAGCATCCAAATAATACGGCTTATTTACCTTTTTATACCATGCGCATTTGCGCTTGTGACTGGTGGCCATCAGCCCTGCATGGTATCGAAGGTTCGTCGCAAGCGGCACATGTCTGCGCAGCAAAGCCTCCAAGTGCCGTTTTCTGGACATGTCTTCAACCTTGGTGAGTATTCGACATCCAGAGATTATCTGGACTCACCGTTTAGTCCAGCAACGTGTGTGTTCCAGAAGTGGAGAACAGAGTAAAAGTGAAACGACCTGGAGGCTATTCCGGTGAGGTGCCAGCCGCCCAAGATCGTTAGGACTTGATTACGTCCTGAGCTCGCAGCGCTTACGTCGCACGTCAGTTCGCTTCAGTCGCACATCCTTCGCTTCGTTCTTCCCTCACTCCTCACGCATGTTGACTTGAACACCACATGTATTCGGTATTTTCAGTACGTGACCTCTATTGTTTCTCCTTCATGAGAGTGGACGTACGTTAACTGACGCCGTCCGCTCAAATGCACAACACTCTCTGGTGCAGAAAGCTAGTGAGTGCGATGTTATTTCCCCTGAGCCCACAGTAACTCACGCCTGTTGTACTGTATGTACCTTTGCGCAGCGACACGACCGCATGGTGTAACCGACCCACCGCACGGCGTAAGTCGATTACGCCTCGACGCAGGGCGTGGCGCGGAGCGTATGTTTTGATGGTGTGCCTCATTTGGACGGCCGCAAGGGCATTGCGGCCGTCCAAATGAGGCAACTATTGCACACCAGCCGCTCGGCGTCGGCCGC